CGCTTTTGCGGTCAGTTACTTTCCACCCTTTGCTGCTCTTTTTCCCCTTATACCCTATGGCGCCTCCTTGCTACCATCGCGGTACGAATTCCAACAAGAAGCATGTAAGCATCTCGTGGTTAGGCGAATATCTCTTTGTTAAGAACGTCGAGAAAATTAAGAAAACGCTGAATTTAGATGGTATCCTACTACAGAATCCTACATGGTAGCGTTTCTTCTTTGAACTTTTTACTCGAGGAATCGCGATAACGGCTTGGTACTCGTTTATATGTATTTCATGGGAATGTATATTTCTTTTCACGAATTATTATTTTGGAACGATTTGATTTTTACGTTTTATCGACACGAAACCCGAAATAGGTATTATTTCGTCTATATATTGTTTTTAAAGTACGACGACAGAAACTAACGATAACCCTCTCGCCATCTCGGTACAATCGCGAAACAAAGACGAACGAATACCCGATAACGACGATTCGATAAAAGCGAATGCGCATTTGATTAACGATGCGAGAACATCACCGGTAGTGTCCATAATTAAATTATTTCTAACACATAAAACGATGAATTCAACTGTAAGCACGTCGTAGTAGCATAGAGGTGCCGATCAATTTCCTGAAAACGTTTCTCTGCGATAAATAGAAGGTGGAGGGTAAAAAAGGAAGGTACGCGAATTAACAACCATCCGCGATGTCTGAAATCAAGCATGTCGCGTTGAAGGTAGGTAACGGACGGACGTCTGTGTACAAGCGAGTAAGAAAAAGTGTAATCCAATTACGGATAATCGTTGTGTTCGTTGGGAGCTCGTACGAGCATTCGGGCGCGATATCGAGTGATTAAAAATAATATGTGAGCGCGCGTGATCGGAAGTTTGTTCGCGTGTAAGCCAACACGGCCAAAGCACGAGTCACACCGCTTGTTGGCTTTGATTCCCGCTTTTCCACCTTGCTCTTTCCCTCTCTAACCTCGGCTGAACGTAAGTGCCAACCCTCTATTCGATATACCGAACCCGTTCGTGCATGAATTCTATACAAACTACGTGCCTGCTACGTGGAAAGTGTGATTAATCGACGGAATAATGGTCTCCTTTTTCACTTTTTCGCCACCCATTACCTTTCATTGGATCATATTCGTGCACACTATGTAGTTTATCTCGAAACGTTTGTCTGATACCTCTTTAAAGAGACAAGCAAATTAATTTAAACGCGATACCGTGCGCACTGCTACTGTTAACGATCCTTTACCTCGAGCTGACTTCGTTATATCGTTCATTGTCCTCGAGGGGCTGTTTGAATTCAACTAGTTCCGACGAAAGGTTCTCTGCCCGTGCTCCACATATTGATAACTCGCGGCTCAGATCCCCAATCTCTGCACTCGAAGAGGTACTTGAAGATTGGCTATCCATCCAGATAACTGAGTAGAATAATTACACCTTATCAACTCCGTTGATGTCACTCCTCTTCTCTGTTACATTTCTTCACTTATCGCTATTCCAACAGATGGTTTCGTTTCTTCTTGCAGCAGTGCTCTACGCGAGCAACGAATGGTTATCTACTTATAATATTCCTAGAGTTTCATCCATCGATTATGGAACGACGATGGGTCACACAGAAAAACTTGGTGCAACGAATGGTATACGTAGTGTACGAAAGCACTGCCAGAGCTTTTATCAAATATCCGTACATGGTCTGGAAGAACGCGACACGAATTCGCAGTCGATAAAGAGCTTTGGCAACGTTATCTATTGCTGGTTATGTCGGGAATTACGTTACTCCTGTCGGTAACACGATTTTGCAGACGTTGGAAAGGAACTTACCTTCCTTTTCTACGTTTTATTCGTTGGTAAAACAGGAGGATAAAAACAGGCGGTAAAAAATTAAATATATTTAAAGGAAAACAATTTCTTCCAATGTTTTCGATGAGGTGACGGTTGAAAATCTCTCTAAATTATTTATTTCCTCGACTAATCTCGGTAAAACTTATTCAAACAATAATAGAAATATTAATTTGTAAGAAAGACAATGATAAAATCGAAAAAATGATAAATAAAAATTCTTTCAGGGCTACTTTCGCACGGTTTAACTTGTAAAAAGTAGCAGCACGTTCAATTAAATTTCGGGAAAAAAGATCGCACTGCTCGAGAATGGGGAACTTATAGATATCGTTATAAAATTCATTCATATTACTGGGTGTACAAGCTTATCTAAACTTAAACCGTAATCGTAAGAAAGTGCAACGAGTGCAAGAATAAATAAAACGTTCAATAATAACTGATATATCGTGCCTTTGATATTTAGTTTCGGGCAAGTAATAGATGTAAGTGTGTTTAAAACACGTACATTAATCATCGACATACTGTAGTAATCGCCGTCGTGCATTCTCGATTAATCTAATATCGTAATTACTAATACATAGACGATGTCATGCATATAAAGATAAACTAAACGTATTTGCGGGAATATCCATAATATATGCCTGATGTGTTGCACACAAGTTGAACGCAAATTGTGCAATGTTGTACGGAATCGTAACGAGGAAGGAAATGCGATGCATTCGAGGGTGGATTAAAGAAACATGAAAATACTAATAGAAAATTAATATACCGAGATGGGATTAAGATGAAGTATTACACAAAAAAAATGTTGAAAATCACTGAATATTAATATAAGAATGCAATAAGATTACTTCGTTTCAAAATAAATAGCATTTAGAAAACACAGTGTGATGAAATAAATGTTTAGCAAATTGCTATTTGTACTAGATAGAATTAGTTTTAATTTGTGTTACCGAAGCAAAATATTGCATAAATGTCCAGTAACGATGCACCTACGACAAACCAACAGTAATAACAATACTCTCGCAATATCGGAGTACAACGAAAGCAACATAATCACTTGTTACTGATTTATTTGAAAGGCAGGAGAATTGATACTTTATCGCGCAATTAAAGCATATTCTAAGCAATGAATAAATCGCGTCCATAACGGATCGCTTTAATAACAACATCACTCGCAAGTCACGTGTACCTGAAGACGGAGTAAGCGTTTATGATTTCGTAAAAATGCACGCTACTGGATAATACGGGTCAAATGGTAAATAAAATATAACTAAAAATAAACATACGTTCGTTTGATGTTAGTGTCTGAATGTTTTCGCTCATTCCCTCTTGGAATGGTTCCGTCGGTACGCACCTGTATGTTATCTCAATGGCGATCCTCTTTAAGCACCCTCTGTAAGCAAACAAAGAGAAGAACATTAGTGGCCTTGGACAATTAGTATTTGTCGTCGGTACAAGGAGTAAACGCGATCTAGTTACACCGGATGGAAGAGTTTTCTCGAATTAACGTACCCTCGTAAAGAAAACTATATTTCCTCTCTTTAAACATTATTGGCTGCATAATGAAAAGTCTAGCTCTTTTTAATAATAATAATAATAATAAAAAAAAAACGGAATTATCTTGTATTGTACACAAAGACTACGTATTCTTCTCGAAAGAATTTAAATATTTATCTTGTATATTCAAATGCAATCCACGGATCGATCACCAAGATTCGACGAACTGCGTCGAAGCAAAAATGTAAATAAATAAATGTATTTTTTTGAAATTTAGTTTTCACTTATTTGTATAAACCTATTCGCTTTTTTATTTACATTTGTCCCTGAATGGAGTGCATCGACATTGTGTACCCACGACTAATTCGTCGATTGCACATGAAATATTAATTTCATTATTTTAGTATCAGGCAATAGAAAGAATAATAATTATATGTTTGAAATTTTTTTTTTTGTAGCATAAGTAAATATATAAAATGAAAAATATATGATGCTATTTAATACACGCAAGATTGCTCCAAATCGGTACTTGAAAAAAAAATGTAAAGTAAGTCTAAATAAACTATTATCTGAATTATTAGGTTGAACGACTTAACAATTTTAAAACAGCGTATCTCAACTACAACGAGTGACCCTCACGTCATTGAAATTAAAGGTTACTTAGGACTCCACCCCGCATAATATATCTCAAGGGCAAGGTCATTCGTAATGTGTAATTTTCTGTAGAGAATCGCGCTTAATTTCTGATTAATTCTGAATAATCCTTTTCTCTGTAACATTTAAAATATAAATACGCAGATCAAACGTAACGGTTTCAAAATATACACGAGGTATAAATTTCGTATATGAGAAAAGATTTTGGAGTCGATTTTTTGCCAAGAGTGGAGCATTTCTAACATAAATGTTGCAAACTTCGTTGCCCGAAGGTTAAGGCCAACCGAATGTCACAGGTAACAGACGCGTCGTTTAACGTTAAACAATGCTATTATTTAGGAACACCATAAAATCGATACTTTTCCTTTAGAAAGTTCGCGGAAACGGGAAAACAGTACCATGCAAGCACGAGGTATGGGTATCGAAAGGTCGATAAAAATCCTTTCGGTGCACGTAAGAATATTCAAGTAAATGTCACATCAAAACGCGCAGGACGAAAACAACGATGTTACCACGAAACGACGATGGAAAGCACGTCGAGACACGAGAGGTTATATGTACCTACTGACGCGCTCAACTGACATGCGACGCATGCTTGCCTTCGAATGTTTCGTTGGATTCGCATTGTTGTATCTCGATTGAAATCAAGTTACGACCCTCATTGTTCCGTCGACGGTGCGTAATTAATTCGCTACACGATGTAAACAAATTGATTGCCCCCTTGTTTGGAGGGCGACCGTAGAAAGGCAGAACAAACGATTACGCACGAAATAGCAAAACACTTACCACGATTCTCGTGTTCACGTCGTCAAGTCCTGTATAAACGTTCGCCTGGCACCCTTACATCGTAAAACGACGTGCACTGTATCTATCACTACACACAGATTTTACAAAAACCTCGAGTAAAGTATATAAAAAAGGCAACAATTAGGAAACTGACAAGAAAGTCGCCATAGCGGTGTTACTACTGGGCGGCCATATTGCCTTGGCTTCCCCCTTCCGACATCTCGCGGCGACTCCCGAACGAAGCCGGTTACCCACGAAAAGTAAGGTCATTCGCAACATGGCGGCAAGCGAGGCAAGACGTGAAGCGGTTTCTCCCAATTTCCACAGGTTTTCGTCATTCTATAACGTTATCGAATCGCAGTTCTTTGATTGGTAAGTGTCATTGAACAAATCTATTGTAGATTTAACGACATTCGGGACCAAATGAATCGATCATTCAAAAATTTCAGACAGTTGGCGAGTGGCGTTCTTCCTAACCCACCATCGGCTTGAACGGCGGGTAAAGATTACAAACAGTTCTCCGTTTTCCAATGAGCCACGGTCAAACAGGACGCCTATTTAGATGAACACATCTGGTATATCGTTGTACAACTGATAATGTGAGTACTGCTAATATTCATATCACTGATAATATTCATTGGCGTTTACCGCCAATTTCTATCGGGCGCACGGACGACTTTCGTCTATGCCGGTAGATTTCAATCGATTGCTACGCTAATAGCAACTGTACGCGTCACATGAAAAGTTTTCTACGCCTTACCTTTAAAAGATTTTGTGCCTAATGCTCCGTTTTTGTTAAATAATTATGCAAATAAGTCCAGTTTATAAATTTACTTCCCACTTTCCGATGATATTCACCATTTTAATTTTTCAATTCGTACTGCTACTCGTTCTCGAGCGGTGGCACTGCAGTCGCCGTTCGATAATCGAAAGGGTTCAAAAAATGCATAAGACATTAATATCAGAATTCATGCGAGTCTAAACACGTTAATCGGAGGAGGGAAGCTTTGATCAAATGTTAGATTTTACCCTTTAATTGTTTATATATGGAATTCAATATTATGCGTAGATTTCGACTTAAATAATATTTGCATGTTAAATATAAGCAAATGTTCAATTTCCCTGTCGCGTTTTAGTTACGTATTTGGTTAATCGTTCGTCTATATTTGATATCCAGCGATCCTCAATGAAAATGATCATGGTATAGCGAACACCGAAGTAGGTAGATTTATCATTGTTGTTGGCCCAAGGGTATGTTGTGCCATTAGACCACCTTGATTAATGGCGCCCTTTGCCCTCAGTGAAAATGTACTTTTTTATATGATCAATTTTATATAGAAGCTCCGAATTAAAGAATAAAAATTATATTTTCCTCGAGCTCCTTATTTCGAACAAAATATAAATTTCAAAGTTTACAACGTATAATTTTAAATTAATTAAAATAATATAGTATCGATAAAGAAGGAACATATTATACTCGCTATTTTTTAAATACAATTTCATTCGATGCATTCAGTCAGTATCCAAACCGTTTTAAAATGTAAAATTGGTCATGAAAGTACATGAAATTAAGGGGATATCTTAAATTAGGAAGTCTAAAAAAAGCAGTTTTACGTGAATTTTTGTAGGATGGAAAAAAATAATTAATTCTATGGAACTTTTTCTCCTATTTTGTGTACTCTGTATACATTTTTTCAACAAGAAATATTCAAATGGAGTCCAAGAAAACCAAAAGAAATTTTCATTTTCATACATTTTACTTTTATGTGAACTAAGAAAATTCATATAAAAAATTGTTCAAACAACTTTTTTATCAATTTAAAGTGATTTTTTTCACCCAAAGAACTCGTTCTTTTTTTTCAAACTTGCAGTAATTTCACATTTCGCCATTTTTGCGGGTTTTTCTTAGTTCACATAGAAGAAAAATATATGAAAATGAAGATTTCTTTTGGTTTTTTTGTGTCAAACCAAAATTACGACCTGCATCTTTCCGCCGATAGGAGGTTTTAATTGTGAGGTGCCCTAAGTTGAATATTTCTTGTTGAACAAATTTGTACAGACTACTCGAATATGTATGAAAATAGGATAAAAAGTTCGATAGAAATAATTATTTTTTTCCATTCTAAAAAAATTTACAAAAAACCGCTATTTTTAAACCTTCTAATTCAGGATACCCCCTTAAGAAATTAAGACAACATTCCTCTACTAGTTTTCGATTGTACAACGGAATAAAAATAATAATGCAGCCTCGCGATCGATAATATGATATTTTCATAAATCCTGAACTGCCACCGCGTAATACTTAACGGCAGCTAATTTGCAAGCTCTTAGCTTCGAGAAAACTGGAAGTAGAACGCGTAATTTTAACGAAACTCATGCGTCTAAGTTTACGACGTACGTCAAATGTCGCGTGCAACAAATTGTGAGGATCGCTGGGGGTACGTTTTCCTGAAGTAGAGAATTTTGCGTTCGTTGTACAGCGACCATCGTGTTAAGAGTCGTTACGTGAGTTTGGTTATCCGCTCCCATACGAAAGCACCTAACTTCCTTAACGAACTCTCAAACGAAGTTTGGTGACTTCCTGCTTCTATTTCAGTCTCGAAACGCAAGCTTAATTAGCGTCAACAATTTACATTTACTATTTAGCTTCCGATAGCTTCTTTCCTTGTCGCATCAGTATCCTTCCTGAATTAGGCGCTCGAGGTCCTCCGAAGACTCTCCGACAGTATCACTAGTAATTCCTAATGAATAAAGCATACATATGAGCCGTTCACTGCACAAATCGATTAAGTCCCCCAGTCACACAAAAATTGTGACATTACCGACGATTATTTTTTTGACTGCTCTTTCTTATTAATTTTATGTACAATTAGATAAAAGCTATGTACATTTGTATTTATGCATTCTACACTATTTATTTGAATTTATATTATAAATATACTATAAAGGGAATAATCGATTCGTGAAATGAACGGGTATATGTCCGTTAAGAATTTTACAAATTCTAGATACAGTCAGTGTAAGAAGTATTCGTACAGCAACCCATTTTGCTGGCTAACGTTTTCCTTTGAATTTCCGTCTTGCGATACACAAATTGAGAATCACATTTCTCGGAATTAACGTCCTGCTCGTATGGCAACGTTTCGTAGTAAACAACGTCCTTCGAATTCCACCGTAAACAAAGTATAACATTCTACCGTTATAAACTTGTTTTTCTAATAGCTAGAATACGTCTTGCTTAGCTTACGTTACTATCTCGGTATACTGTTATGTTTTCAACGTCTGCAACCCAGCGCTTTAAAAATAGTTTGCTATTATTTCTTCCTGGTAGCCAATGCTTCGACCCATTAAATTTGTCTCGCTCAAATTATGGGAAATCCGAACCCTGTATCTATCGAACGTGTCAAGATTTCCAAACGTACGGCAACTGTTGCGTGTAATATATTTAGTAGTGCTTCTATTATCTCCCCTGGTGCACCGCGAGAATGATTTAGCCAATGTAATCACTTATTTATTGCAAAAGAAAATAATTTCCTCGATCGAAGTAAATTACTCTATTCAAGATACGTTAATAAGTGAAATGTGGATTAACCCTTTAGCGTATAACAACGTGTGAGACGCGTGATGAGGAATTCGAGTCGAAAATGAAAAGCACGAGTCAGACACGTCGTATGGACGTGCACAAGAGACTTTGTACCTGACTATGGCACCCACTGTTCCACGATAAATCGTAGGGCAAGGGGTTAATCACACGTGACTATCAGGCAATAGGCGCAACGTGTATCGATAAATCCGTAAATACAGTGAGTAACTTTAATATTCGGACACTATGAGATTTTTACATTATCACATCATAATTTCGTTTCTAACAAAACAAGCAAAAAACATAATCAAGTATTATATTAACGTATACGTTTAGTAAACAATAGTATAAGTTTTATTTACATAACTTACTGTTATTGTTAAATAACACGATTTAAACAAAACATTGTCTGATTTTCGCGTTACTTTAATATTCGGACACTTTTAGAAACTATGTATTTTGAGGCTAATTTTTATAATAATATGTGTTTTAATATCTTGTTGGGTAGCCATTCTCCTGTATCGCTTCTTTTAAACGTTGTGGCATATTGCCAATGATTTTTTTTAAATATTCAATAGTTATTTGGTCCAATTCTTCTTTTAACCGATGTTTCAACATTTCTTTTCATGTCCTGATACGTCGCTCTAGTTCATTCCACACATTTTCGATAGGATTGAGGTCAGGTGATTGAGGTGCTGGTTGTAAAACTTTTGGACAATTATACAGTAAATATTCTTGCACGATGCGTGGCTTATGTTTCGGGTCATTGTCCTGGTAAAATTTAAATGTGTTTAAAATTCCCATTTGTGTAACACTTTTACGTAAATTATTTTTTAATATATTCAAATACACATTTTTGTCCATAATATTGTCAATAAAAACTAATTCGCCCAGCCCAAATGTGGATATACAGCCCCAGACAACCACACTGCCTCCTCCATGCTTTACAGTCGGCCTTAGATTTTTAAATTGAAATTCTTCATTTTCCTTACGCCACATCATCCTTCGTCTATCTGATCCAAGAATGTTAAATTTACTTTCGTCGGTAAAAATGACATCGTTCCACCATGTTTTTTTCCTTGAAAACAAATTCTTTAGCAAAATTTAATCTCTTCTTTCGATTCTATTCATTTACATACGGTTTCTTCCTAGATACTCTTCCATTGTAACCACTGTCTTTTGAGGCTCTGCGGATTGTTTGGGGATGTACCTTCTTCCCAGTCTCGTTTAAGAGCTCCGTTGCTAATTTTGGTGCACTGAGTGGAGGATCCTTCTTTATTTTTCTTATTAATTTCCTCTTATCACGTGCATCCAACTTGTTCGGTTGGTCCTTTTGGGGTATAGAGTCTATACGATCCACGTATTTGAACCGTTTGATGATATTTGCCACTGTACTCTTACTCATGTTGAGTATAGCAGCAATTTGTCTACATAACTTCCCTTTGCATTGTGAAAAATCACAAGTTGTCATATGTTATACGTGGTATTGCTTTTGCGTGTCATTATACACGTGCACGTAACAGTTATCGAAGAATAACTGGTGAAATAAAACTTGTTAGTATCATTCGAACAGTCGACTGTGTTTGTAAACAAACACTTCTTCTAAACTCGAAATAACTCTGCGTAAACACTCAGAAAAGGTGCTACACTGCAAAGTGTCCGAATATTAAAGTAACGCGAAAATCAGACAATGTTTTGTTTAAATCATATTATTTAACAACTATTGTAAGTTATGTAAGTAAAACTTATACTATTGTTTACTACACATATACCTTAATATAATACTTGATTATGTTTTTATTTGTTTTATTAGAAACGAAATTATGATATAACAAAGTAAAAATCTCATAGTGTCCGAATATTAAAGTTACTCACTGTACCTGTCGGCTAATTTAATATAGGGAGCGCTACCTGTCACAGAATGATTATTTAATTAGGATTACACAAGGAAGGATGAGCATCGACTTGAAATTGATACTTGCGTTATTTGAACCGATTAAAAGCGTTCTCTCTGGA